TGTTTATATATCTGTATTATCTATTTTTTACATAAGAAACGTATGTTAATCATTAACCTAATACCCATAGTACAAGCTTTGCTTAAGATAGGGACTAGATAAAGTACTGTAAAAAATATCTCGTGAAATATTTATTTATAAAGTCTATTGTGAATCATGACATAACGGTCATATAAATAAATTGCCCGCTACTTCGTCCACGTGCAATTTAAAATTAAAAAAAATCTACAATAAAAATAGCCTAAGTTACTCCTTATTACATCAGCTAACTGTCAGTGGCAGTCCCGTCCAAATCAGACAGACAGACAGACAAAAAAAAAAAAATATTTTGGTATATGTACCGTGTACACATCTACATGCATTTAGTAAAAAGCGGTTATTTTAGTATTACAAACAGACACTCCAATTTTATTTATCTGTATCGATGTATAGATAAGCGACAACCACACGAAATACAAATGCAAACGTATTCAAACAACAGTACTATCAGCGGCAAATAAAGGCCCATTTACACGGTGCCAGTTTCTTGCCTGTTGTATACAATTAAATTGAAGCAATAAATGAGTTTCATGGTCTAAACAACAAATGGTCTAAACAATTATTGCGCGCAATTTATTGCATTCAATTATTGCTCTTGTATGTACAAGAAAATGGCATCGTGTAAATGGGCCTTAAAACATGTTTTATTTGTGTTCACTGAATCCTACGAAAAAATGGACAAACCAAACATTTCTTTCGCTGTTTAATTAAAAAGACTGCTATTCTATTTTAAAATGAATCATATTTGACTTAACCCCTTATTTGATTTAACCCCTTTAACTGTGGTAGGGCCTCGCAACAGTGTTCACTGTTGGTCGAATGTGCAGGTCCGCCCGGGTATGTACCACGGCCTCACAGAAGATCGGCGTAAAGTAGAAGTGTTATGCTTCTGCGTTTCGTCTGGTAAGTGAGGTAGCCGTGCCCCACTTTATTTAAATGTGCGAACGCATTTGCGGGTTGCAAATGCGTTACAGGTGTTGCAAATGTCCATGGGCGGCGGTTATCATTTAACATCAGATGAACCGCCAGCTCGTTTATTTATTGATTTATTTATTTATTTAATCTTTATTGCCAACCTTCAGTAAAACAAGGTAACAAAGGGCGGACTGAATGCCCAAAGGCATTCTCTACCAGTCAACCCAGGATATGGTGAGAGTTTATGGTAGGTGCAGCAAGAGATGCAAGAATAATGAAATTTTAATTAAAGAGAATATATATTAAAATAATATTATAATTGGATGCAAAGCATATATTTATTATATACACATATATATATATATATATATATATATACATATATACATATATATATATATATATATATATATATATATATACACACATATATATATATATATATATATATATATATATGTATATATGTTTACCACATATTCACATTAAAAAATCCACCCAAAGTGGTATTTATTCGTTCAATGAACTGACATTCAGAAAATTATCGCATTAATCTAATATAACAAACAACACACTAACAAACCAAGCGCTACAGTAAGATTATATCGCATAGAAAATAGCTTGATAACATATGAAATAAACAACTATTTAAGTACGAAGTGAGAGGAAGGATCAAGAGGTACGATTTCTTTTTAACTGTGACAGGACCACGTCAAATGTGTAGGTCCGCCCGGGGAAGTATCACGACCTCTCCGAAGACCAGCGTGAATTGGAGTATTATAGTTCTTCGTTTTTGTTTTTTTGGTGAGTGTTAGTAACCGGAGTCCAGTAGTAACTGCAACCCTACGTATGTTGCAAATATCTATAGACGGCGGTTATAATCATTACTAATATTATAAAGGCGAAAGTTGGTATGTATGGATTGATGTTTGTTACTCTTTCACCTAACTACTACTGAATGGATTTTAACGAAAGTACAATAATATACATCAGAATAAGACAGGGGCTATATTTTATATACATATATTTTTTGATGTGTATCTGTCTTTCTGTCTGAGTGTTACGCCTTCAGCCTATTCTACGCAGACGTAGTCGCGGGCAGCAGCTAGTCTAACATATCGTGAACCGCGAGCTCTTTTGATATCTACCTAAATAACTATTGCATAGCAGCACTTTTGCAATGACGTCACCATGGGCTGTGGAAACGTCTAGAACACAGATGGTCGGTAGCGCACGCGGAAAGTTGAACCGGCAGCGTGGAACGGTTGGACCTACCGCCATTCGGTGTTTCGTAACGCGGCTATCGTTGCGTTCAATATGGATCCAATGGGTTGTTGGACCGGGCTGTCGTAAGTTACAGTGCCAAGTATAGAAACACGCTACGATACGACGACGTAATTCTAAATTTAAAAAAAAAACTCGTGTTCCTAACGTGCTTCACGTAATATTTTATTAATGAAACAAAACCAAGTACAAATATCTCGCTCAATATACATTTTCTATTAAATTTTGAGGAGTTTACTGGTGTTTCTTCTTGATCTTGGAGGTCCAACGCTAATAAACATAAAACTGGACAACATCAGACTAATCATGGGGTTGTAAAAGCATTGTGTTGTAATGTTGTCGAACAATAAAAAGTCGAAATTAACACTAATAATCGTCATCGATGAACTATTTACGCGGACTTTCCGTGAACAATACTTGCTCGAGCAGTAACTTTGCATATTACACTCTATGAAGTAGGTTATAGAGTTCAAAAATGTCTAAAAGTACTATTAATTTATTATCCTTATGATAACGCCGTGCCATCCTTATTCAAAGTTCGAACTGATAACAATCGTCTGCGAGTTTTTGAGTAAAATGAGCTGGTGTTGATTATAATGACCGTTTTAAATGCCAAATAATAAAATGTACTCACTACAATTTTTTACAATTAATAATGTTCTTAATTTTTTGTGCTATCTTTTTCAACGTACCTAAATCCAACCCTGCACACGTATAATGTATGCGGTAAACACTTGCTTAACTACAGGTAAGCCACCTGCCAGTTTACAAACTTTTTATAAACATCATTTCATAAGGTCTTGTTTCTAATAAACTTTCAATTCGTTATTCTTGAAAATGTACCAAGGAAAAACCTAAAAGCGTAGTATGTTAATACGATCATCGATTTAAATAAAAGAATACTTTCAAAAGTCAAGAAAAAGCACATTGAATCTTAAACACAACAGCAAGGTATCCAAGTGAAATGACAGGTTACACTTGACATTAATAAACAAAGGCTAGGCAAGTCAATGTCGCCGCATCATCTTAAAGGCTAGTTACGCGCTAAAGGTATAAAAATACGCCGGCTGAGGCCAAAATGATCGAACGACCACCATTTCCGGTAAATTAGCGGAAATTGTCAATTAAAAGCAAAAGGACATCTGTCATATGCCCATAATTGAAAACTGGTCACAAATACGGCAATAATTGGCGACACAATTTTCTACTTTGGTTATAATTTTCTTTTTTAAAAGGTACTGGCGATCTAAAGAAAGGTTTAATACCTCTGTGATAAAAGTTTTCATACGTTACAGCAACAACTATGTCGTGCTGTGTAAGGTTAGCCTATATTATTTCTTGCGACTAAGCACCGGACGGTTGCAAATCGAAACTGTAAATACAATTTCGGAGATTTTATAAAACCTAGTTCGCTTTCGAAGTTTCGACGTTAAATCAATAACAGCGAGAGAAAGTGCCTCAAATCCATCACAGTAACACTTCTTGGGGACGCGTCAATACGCGAACAACACATTCTTACTAACCTGATCGCAACTTGTGCCGAATTACACTTTCAAGTCTTACCGGACAACACATTGTGGACATCCGCGTCGTGTGTTTAGAATATTCAAGGACATCAAATTATAATCTAATCATGTACACATGGGTAACGTGTTTATTTGGTTGATCGGAAATGTATTGTTCATGTCCGATCGATAGAGGAAAACTTAATAGTATAGAATTGTCTTCCAGGCAAGACCCAAACTCGTTAAAGGTTTAACACAAAACAATCTCCAATTATCTTCTCGTTTATAAATTGTAACGTTAAGGAGAAGATTTCTATTAAATTATTACGTACTAGGAGCGCATAATCTAACAGTACCATTATGCCTCTAAGGCTAGATAAGTCCACACTTTGTTGGCAAACAGTTGCAAGTACTAGGCATTCATAGCCTGCGAGCATTGCGCTAAATACGCAATACAGCTAAAAACATAGTATAAGCATTCGTTATTCTGGTACTATAATGACGCAAAAGCAATAATTGTTTACGAAGATTTTCGATTGTTGAGGCAACGTAAATAGCAAATAGGTACATAATTTATAGAGCAACAAAAGCGTATAAAACGGTAAACTCAACCTATTAATGTTACGCCTCGTGTATCAACTGTATGTAAAAACATTAGTTGTACTTTTGAGTCTAATCGGTTTTGTTTATTGTGAACTTTTATTCAGATAAAGATCATTTGAAATAAAAAATATTAGGCAGATAACAGATATTTAAACTATGCGCAATATATTACAGCGATAGTCTCTAACTTTCAACAAACAAACTATCGACAGTCAGCATCAATTTAGTTTGTATTAGACATTCCTATGAATGTCATTTGATCTGAGAACCTGGTTTTCTTAGCAAAACGTACTAAATATCTTCTTAAAGCAGTCAATAGTAATAAATATATAAGTATAACATAATAAAATAAATAAATATAAACACTTGTCGTGAAGATTTTCCGAAGGTACTAGGCATACATAAGAGAAACATCAAGTTTTTTATAGATATTATGCCTAGATAGTATCAATTGGTCAGAAAGTTCTTAGAACTTAGAACTTCTAGATCCCACTGAAGAGAATCACAATCAATAATAAATAACGTGTCCAATTTGTAATATGAATTTAGATTTGCATCGTGTTTAAAGCCCTTATTAAATATGAACTTCGTACGAAGTTACCAGGCACGAAGGTACCAGGCGTTCATAGATCTTAAGTAGTAAATCGCGCTTACTTGTATCCTGTTAGTATGTTCAGCAATGTGGATTTCCCGGCGCCGGAGGGACCCATGATGGCAGTCAGCTCGCCGGACCGCAACCGTCCGGAAACGGATTTCAGAATTATCTTCTCATCTGGTAAGAGAAAAAAAACGATTAGCCACAACAGGTATTGTTGAAAAAATATTATGTCGGGCCAAAAAATTTTGGCAGGCTCATTCGGGTAAGTACCACGACCTCACAGAAGACCAGCGTTACGTGGAAGTATGACAAATACTTTCGCATTTCGTCTGGTGAGTGAGGTAGCCGGAGCCCAATTTTCAAAAGGTTGTCAACGCATCTGCAACCCTTTGGTGCATCGGATGTCCATGGGCGGCGGTATTCACTTAACATCAGGTGAACCGTCTGCTCGTTTGGCAACTTTTCACTTAAAAAAAAATGTCAGTGTTTTTCTTGCACATAAAATACTACGACACAAACTATAGCAATGTGTTTTGTAGTTTTCTTTTCAAACGTGTCATAATAACTATAGGATATGGGGCTGAGGAAAAATCATACCCTGGTTTTGTGAAAACATTGGGTAATAATATGGGCAGAAGAGAAGATGATATCGTACCTTGAGAACTGCAAAAACTTATTGTATTGTTAATTAATAGTTTTATAATTCATAATCAAATAAGATATTTATATTTAATTATATGGAATTAAATAAAAAGAGACTCAACCTTTATTTTTCTCTTTCTACTATATCAAACAATCATTAATGTTAAAAAAAAAAAACAATTTCTTATTGAGATGCTATACAATATTTTACGAAGAGGTAAAGAGCCGAACTGAAGGTCAAACGATACAGTCAGATTAAAAGAAATCCTAAAGCAAAAAATACTCAAAATATAAGAAGCAAAAATTCGAAATAAATGATTGCACACTTAGTCACGTCAGTATGAAACGAGATTTAAGTCGTTAACTTGAAAAATCTTGAAAATTAATAATTAAAAAGGAAAAATCAGATTCATCAGGCGCCCAAAATAAATTTCGAAATCGGTTAATTTTACTGACGCTTAATGAACCCCATAAATCGTAAAATTATGACGGCCATATTAATTTTCAACCGACTACAAAAAGGGGGAGGTTTTCAATTCGACTGTATTTTTTCTAATTTTCGTTCGCTCTGAACTTTCGACTGAGTGAACAAAGATTGACGATTCTTTTTTTATTTTATTCTTTGATCCCATATTAATTTCATTGGTATTGGATCTTGGGCTCCGGAGATACTCAGGGAACTTCTGAAAATCAATTATAAAATGAATACAGAGCGAGATATTTGAAATCGGTTTTGTTTTTCGTTAATAAAAAAATGGACTTGCACTATCCATACTTCCATACAAATATTATAAACGCGAAAGTAGCTCTGTCTGTCTGTCTCGCTTTCATGTCAAAACTACTTAACCGATTTAAATGAAATTTGGTACATAGATAGTCTAGAGCCTGAGAAAGGACATAGGCTATTTTTTTATTGGATAAAGGGTTCTTAAAGGGGATAGATATTTATTTAAGGACTTCAATGTGAGCAAAGCCGCGGACGAAAAGCTAGTGCCCCATATTTTACATAAAGTAGCAGCACATTTCTGTATGAGATTCACAACAGGAAAACACAACGGTATTTCCACCAGTGACAAGAGGTTGAATTCATTCCCATGTAAAGTTCATTATGTTGTTGTAAATACCAACGGAATGAATTTCAATATTGATCTGTTCTAATCTGTTCGGTTATCGCGAAGCGATAATGGTCGTGTGTTCGATTCCCACCCGGGACAAGTACCTGGGTACATCAAATCAATCTTGGTATTTTTCCTGGTTCAATTTTTTTCGTTAAACGGTATTACGACACATGATTGTTTTAACTTCCTTTAAGGGTAATGTTAAAAATAAAATATCCAAGTGCGAGTCGGACTCGCGCACGAACGGTTCCGTAACATTATCTATAAAAACCGCAAAAAAATCATGTCTGTTGTATGGGAGCCCCACTCAAATATTTTATTCCATTTTTTAGTATTTTTATGTTGTTATAGCGGCAACAGAAATACATCATCTGTGAAAATTTCAACTAACTATCATGGTTCACGAGATACAGCCTGGCGACAGACGGACACACAGACAGACAGACACAGCGGAGTCTTAGTAATAGGGTCCCGTTTTACCTTTTGGGCACAGTACCCTAAAAACAAGTCGAAAAATCCTAAAGGCAGACAATTGAACATCGAAAAGTGTGTGCCATATAATTATTTAGTTCATGATTATGGAGTCTAATGCAAGTTTATTTGCGTATATTATACGATCAATTGGTGGACGGAAACAGTTTCATCACCAGAATATCGGTACGTTTAAAAAAATTGTGTAGCAAATCAATTGCTTTGCGCTTACGTACATATATCTAAGTCAAATTCAATAATTCGTTATTCAATGTAGCCTCATTCCAGGTTCTCATTTTTATGGTTCCGTACCTGAAGGTTAAAAACAGGGCCCTATTTCTTAGACTCCACTGTCTGTCTGTCTTTCTATCTGTCTTTCTGTCTGTCTGTATAAGCTTAAAAATTCCAGAAATGGAATTGCTTAGCGCTTTACATTGTTCTCGACCCAAATTGGGCTCAAGTATTGGCATTGATTCAGATTAAATACATTAAAGAAAGTTATATGGAAATTGTTCCTCGAAAGTCATCTGATTTGGCAGCAACTTGACAGCGTTAATGCCAATGAACCCTTCTGGCTGGTGTTATAAAAATAAACAAAACGTGCATCTGTATTGACGTGCAATTAGTTTGCACGTTGAATCGCCTCGCCATTACTTTTATTTTATTTGATGACGAATACATATAATGCTGAATGACAATTGATGGAAACAAGTTTAAACATTATTATGTAAAGGATATTAATTTTGATATTTGTATTATCTGCACTCAAGTTAAATGCAGGGAGTGTTATTCTCTGTTATGGAAAACTTTTCTAACTTTTTCTGCATTTTTTTTTATTTCACCTTGAGTGCAGAGAATAGCATTATAAAAATTAATATCCTTTAAAATTTTTAACAAAAAGGTGTTCAAATATTTCATAGTATAATGTTATATGAAAAGTGGTCGTTTGCTGTAAAGGGAGCATACTAGTTAAAACATTAGCTTAAAAACGTAATAAGAACATGGTGGATATAAAACGTGATTTTTGTCACTGTGAAGATAAACTATTTAGCTCAGTGGCCGGATGTAGCTCCAAATGCTCGTACCGACCATATTAACATATATATAAAATATAATATATAATAAATTTTTAAAATTATCTATGTACCCCGGATTCGGAACAATTATTTCTTTACATACAAATGCTTGCCTGGGAATGAAACTTAAACTGCAAGGGTGTTTTAGCATAAAACAGTTTTCGATAGGATTAAATTTTGATCCTTGATGTTTTCTTTCAAGTTACAAGTGTCATTGTTCAAAAGAACAATGTTACTTGTTCTTCGCCTTTAAGTTTTGACACGCAACTGTTACTGACGTGGCCTGACCTTTTCTTGAACATGAAAGTATTATCTTGCGATTTAAGACCTGTGTCACAAGCAACAAAAAAAATAATGACAAAAAACACCCGACTGCATCCTTAGTTTTTGTTTGGAAAATGTTCAATTAATATAGCCTATATCACTCGCACAGCCTTGAAGAATCTAATGAAACTGTAATAATAAGGCTGTAGAGCGCGACAAAGAATTAGACATACATCCGTATGGATTTGCCTAGCGTATCTTCTAGGAAAACATTACCTTCGGGCAGTCGGGTAAAAGAGGATTCGACAACACAAACGTTAAACGCGGCGTTAGGTCTTTTAGCGAACAAAGAATTTGTAATGCGGAGCACGAAACCAACGCATCGTAAATAGCCAGCGTTTAGAGACAATTAATTGATTCAAAAGCGTTTTAACATAGCACAGAAGACTAAATAAGACGAATGTATTTGGTTCAACATTGCATTAAAGATCTTTGTTAAAATAGTCGAGAATTGTTATTGTTATTATTGTTTTAAAGATGGTTCAGTTGGTGATGGTAGCCAGTCTCATGACATGAAAGTCATCAAGACTGGTGAGATCTGAACATCGAGAATTCTTAGGATAACGATTGATGAGACAATCGTTATCTTAACTTTCAAGTCGCATCCCAAACATTGTTTGTGATTAATAATAATTAAACATAGTTAATTGATTTCATTAAAATGTAAAAGCTAAAAATTTAACTTTGGTAAAGTATAGTTTAACTAAAAGTATGATACAATATCGAGTATTCTTAAGATTTATGAGACAAACGTCTAAATTCAAAGTCAATGCAAGTCAATTTACAACACCCAAATCAATGTTTGCGATGCGATTGTAAATTGATTTGATTAACATGTAAAAGCTAAAAATTTTAATACAGTAAACGAAATTTCAGCTAAATGTTTGGTGTTAAATGTTTGATCGAACTGGATTATTCAGCAGAACATAAGCGTATATTAGACAAACGATCTAAAAGTGAAGTGAATGATAAACTTTCTTTCTAGGGGTTGTTGGCTCAACATGGGAATCACATTGTTAATGGGTTTGCCTAGGTGTTTTACGACCTGTCGCCAACCCTCCTTGGAAACAGATCCTGAACAATTGTTTGTGGGTCACACAAATACTTGTCCCGTGTGGCAATCGATCCCACGTAGGTGTTTGTATCTACAGGACAAAAGAGATGTTACTATCTTATAGAAAACATAATTGTGCCGTGCTCAGTGTCCGGGCGGACGCCTTTAATTCAATATACTTTTTTTTTTTTTTTTTTTTTTTTTTTTAACGTGGGAAAAATCCTTTATGGATTCCCCGCTGCCTTGTGGGTAGGCAGCAGGGGTATGTGGGAGTTACACGTACCCACTAAAAAACCCACGTTGCACCTGCGCTATCGCTTTGCCGGGGGACACGGGAACACGAGAACGCAATCTTCCGCGAACCCCGGCGCGACTGTGACCTTCTCAGGCCTCCTCTCCCCGGGTGTTAGGGACACCCGGTCCAGCCAAATGGTGCCGTGTCGGTGCAAAGAACACGGCACCCCTCTCAAGCCCTCCGCGGGGCAGCAG